AATACGCCTTTACTGTTACTTTTTCCGCAAAACCCACAAACTTTCGGTTAACGACTCCAACTATTTTACTTTGAGATTGTGCAGTTGTATATCGAGGAATTCTAATAGTTTTATCTTTGTGATGAATGATGGTAGAGGGGTTGCTAGCAGATTATGCTGGTACTCATTTCGAGATTTGCGGATTTTAATGCTTTTAGGGGTTGCAGGGTTTGTAATTGTTATTCAGGTTTCGAGTTTGAGTATTTGTTATTTTGATGGTAATTGGGGATTTTGATTTTGAATATTGTTCACATTTAATTGTATTTATTATGATTTCTAAAATCCTATATTCCCAAATCTTTATAAACTTGAATACTTGCATCCTCGATTTCCTATGTCTCCAAATTCCTATATACCTAAACCCACATATCCCAAATTGTGATATTCCCAAATCCTTATATGTCCAAATCTCTATATCCTTAAATACTTGTATCCCCAATTTCCTAAGTCTCCAAATCCCCATATCCCCAAATCCACATATCCCCAAATCCTCATATGTCCAAATCCCTATATCCCCAAATTCACATATCCCCAAATCCTCATATGTCCAAATCTCTATATCCTCAAATTCACATATCCCCAAATCCTCATATGTCCAAATCCCTCTATTCCCAAATCCACATATCCCCAAATCCTCATATGTCCAAATCCCTATATCCCCAAATCCTTATCTCCCCAAATCCCTATATCCTTGAATACTTGCAATCCCAAGTTCCAATGCCCCTAAATCCCTATATCCCCAAGTCCCTACCTCTCCAAAAGTACCCACATACCTCCACACCCATTATCCCCAAATCCCCACGACTTCCAAAATTAACGACACCATAAACGAAGAACAAAACGCCCAAATCGAGAGCAACATAAAAAAGAATATAGGTACCGAAGAACAGTATGAGATGAAACCTCGATAATTCGTGTATAGAATCGCGATCGCGTATCGACGCGACGGTAAGGAACAGACTGGAATCCGGAATAAAGCAGTCAATTATAGTGGCTCCCTTTTCAAGTATTCCTCACGGCGAGCAGGAGAAATCCCCGGTAGAAACTGAACGCGAAACGGCCGATAAAAGCGTACAATGACTGGTACGAGCACGGAAACGCAAATGTCCTCTTTCACCGAGACGTCCTCTGTGAGGGGCAACGAGTGATGGACAGGTGAAAGAAGTGGCCAATGTGGGCTGGTTTCGGCGTCTCATGTGACACACACGTCACTGGCCTTTGTTTTCCTATCGTTCCTTTTTTTTTCACATTTGATCGAGCACTCCTGGCTCTCCTTTGTCCTTTGCATCGACCTCCCCTCCTTTTCAGCTAGTTCGTTCGCCGACGACGAGCATTTTCTTTGGGACAAGCCCGCGGAAATTGAAGCAGGCACCGGGGATAAGAGAACGGGTTCTCTGATCATAATGCAAGGTATAAACCGGAGGACTACTAATTTCGAGCTGTGGTTCTAATGCTTTGGTGCGAGGATGAAAGTCTTGGGCGAAAAGGGATGTATAAGATGTACTATAGATTATTTATTAATTTTTTGTTTATGGTAGTTGTTATTTATAGGTGGTTTTATGGAGGAATTTGAGATGATGAATAAGTGGAAGGTTGTATTGTTGGTATTAGTGAAAATAAAGTTTGTATGAATTGTGTATGTGTATGTTCTTTCATTTAAATTTTTGCACTATAATATTTCCATTCATATTCGTATCACATATCACATATTCTCGAATACCTATATCCCCAGTATCTCACATATCCGAATTCCTATATCCCATATACCACATATTCCCGAATACCTATATTCCCAATATCACACATTCCCGAATTCCTATATCTCCAATACCACACATTCCCGAATTCACATTTCCAAATCCTATTATTTCAGAATTCCAATACTCCCCAAATCTCAATCTCCACCAATTCCAATCTCCCCAAATCCCAAAATTCTCAAATCCCAATTTCTCCAAATACCAATCTCCCCAAATTCCAATATCCCCAAATCCCAATCTCCCCAAATTCCCATCTCCCCAAATTCCAATATCCCCAAATTCCAATTTCCCCAAATTCCAATCTCCCCAAATCCCAATCTCCCCAAATCCCAATCTCCCCAAATACCAATCTCTCCCAATCCCAATCTCCCCAAATCCCAATCTCCCCAAATTCCAATCTCCCCAAATTCCCAATCTCCCCAAATCCCAATCTCTCCCAATCCCAATCTCCCCAAATGCCAATCCTCCCAAATCCCAATCTCCCCAAATCCCAATCTCCCCAAATCCCAATCTCTCCCAATCCCAATCTCCCCAAATTCCAATATCCCTAATTCCACTATTCCCAAATCCCAATATCCCTAACTCCACCGCCCCCAAATCCCAATATCTCCAACTCCACCCATCTCCAAATCCCAAAATATCCCAAATTCATCCTCCCATCATCCTAACATACTAAAATACCTCCACCTAATTTGTCAACCTCACCTCATCACCTCACTTATAATCTAGAGCAACCTGCTCCCATTACTTAACTATGAACCTGCCTACATATGAATCTGAACTATGAACTCTGAAGCTACAACCCTGATACAACCAACAATCCCTGATCTCTAGCCAAACAATATGTGAACTCCCGTTTTTCGAAAGGGTCCACATGGACCAGTTTTCCACCTGATCTAGAGCGCGATCCATTTTCGTTCGTGGACAAAAATCTCAACGGGAACCTGTTTGCTCGCGTGCCGAGGTCCTGCCCTCCGTGACACTCTCGCGGATCCTGTCTGGCTTAAAACTGGACCATCAGGATGGGGATGCTGCCGCCTCTCGACAACAATGCACGTTGACCACTGTCCATTGTCCGACGAGTCAAACCGCAAAATGAATCCAGTTAACCTTTGATTCCTATTCAGAAATCTTCTCGGTCAATTTCCGCTGACAGAGAACTGGTCCACGGAAAGGGGATGCTGCCCTGTCCTTTTGTCGGTGATGGACAGTGGATACTTAAGGGCAATAAAGTACGGCCACAGAGTCTGGTTAGCCTTTGACTCTGGACGGGACCTGTTTTTTTTTAGGGGTCCCGTATGAGGCAGGAATTGTTTAACGATGCATAGTGAAAAGGATGATTCAGAATGTTTATTTTGTTTTTTAATATTTGGAGAGTATTTTATTAGGAGAGTCAGAATTTCTCGGTGTTATTCTAACTATGTGATGTTTTAATTTGATTTGATAAATATGTGATGTTTTAGTTTGAATTGCATTTATTAATATTTTGTGGCAGTACGATGTAAAACGAGTGTATTGAAGATTTCATATCCTAATTTAATATCTGAAGAATATTTTATTGAATCAGTTAGAAATTCTCGGTGGTTTTGATGTTTCAGCTCGATTCTGATTTATAAATATTTCGTTGCAATATGAAACCTAGCAGAAATGATTCAAAGATGTGAAGTGAAGATTTATATTGAAGATATATCCTGACTTTAATCTTCCATATCTGAAGAATATTTTATTGGATCAATTAGAAATTATCGGTGTTATTCTTGATGTTGACATATGATGTTTTAATTTGATTTACATTTATAATAATTCTGTTGCAGTATAGAATCTTGCAGAAATAGTTTCACGTTGTAAAATGGAAGAATACATTGAAGATATATTATGACTTTATTGTGTAATATCTGAAGAATATTTTACTGGATCAATTAAAAATTGCCTATATTATTCATAATTTTGACGTACAATTTTTTAATTCGTTTTGTATTTAAACAAGTTTTATGAAATAAATAATTAAATCATGTTAGAGAATGTGTTGAACATATAGTCGCTAGAAAATATTCTATGGAATGTATGAAAAGTTTAAATAATAACAGAATAAATAATAAAATGAAAGTTTGTATATTTTGAAAATTGTCCCGCGAGAGAAATTTCACCTCTTTTCTTTGACCAGGTAAAACATCCCCTAGCGAATCCTATGGTAAGCTACGAAAAGGGCAGGTAACTGAGAACCCTTCTTTATCGACGCAAGCTAACCTTCTCTACAATTTTAACTTCTATTTATTTATCAAACTATATAAAACACGTCACTTGCAATAAAATTCTACTTCATTTGTGTCTATTTCGTTTAAATTTCCTACCCCTTATTTTTATATTTACAAATTTACCTATGATCGGTAAATCAACCTTCTTTATCGACAGTAAGTACAATCAATATCTTCACATTGGTAAACGATAATCTTGATAGACAAAATCTTAACAACCCTCCAATAAATTTGCAAATTAAAATAAATTCCATACAGAAAAGTTTAAATAAAATATAAATTGTGATCCTAAAAAAATGATACGAAAAATCGAATAAAGTCTGTGTTGTCCTAATTGTCTCCAGGCAACAGTATGCCGCATATCAGGTGTATAGAAGTGTCATACGAGCGACAAGTGTTAGGTGTTCTAATGCGAGACTCGAAAAGGTGAAACATTATTATATTACCACGAAATGTACGCAGCGAATGATCATCGAGCGTGTAAGGTCTCATCCGAGCAACACGCGAAGCTACAGAAGATCAAGGAGCTAACCACTATCATACAGGTTAACTACCTTAAAAATTATAAAATCTATGTTGTGCTATACAAATCTATTTCGCAGGACACGGATAAAAACCTGACGATCTGCGAGGAAATCTTGACAACTTACGTAAGAAAGCGATTGAGGGTATGTAAAAAAGTATTTTACTAAAAAAAGAAGTATTTTATTTCTAACTGTATTTTATTTTACTGTAAATTTTATTTCTAACTGTATTTTATTTTACTGTAAATTTTATTTCTAATTCAAGAGTTTTATGAATATGTTAAATTACGTTTTATTGATAAATCTCTTACAGGTATATTAGTTTATATAACTAATTAAATTCTAGTTTGATTTCTTAAGTGACTTCATTCGATATACTACACTGGGTTACATATTTGTGGACTCGTGAAAAAATCGATCTTCGATTACCATCCCTTGTACCAACCACCATAACCACGGTAGCCGTAACCATATCCTCCTCCGTGACCGTATCCTCCTCCGTAACCATATCCTCCTCCATAACCGTGGCCGTAGTAAGGCCAACCAGAATACCATGGGTACCAACCATGGCCTCCCCCGAAACCGTACCTAAAATTATTTCTGTGAAAATCTTCACTGAATCTTCGTATTTTTGCATACGAGCACACATATCTTACTTAGAATTACTTCATTTATGGTAGCTTTCGAATTTGACGCGGTACAAGGGTTGTCTGAAGGGTCAATTCTGGTGACCGAACACTTCAAGTATTATTTTTGAGGATTATCGACTTTGCAAGCTGGGGGTGTTGGAAAACCACCCTTAATATTTCACGAGAACTTACGTATTATTTTCGAGGATTATTGGAAGTTAGGGGTGTTGGAAAACCACCCTTAATATTTCACAAGAACTTGCAAGTTTTAATAAGTGAAATTTGTCACGTCCCATTTTTCCAAAATTGAAAGACTTCGATTAGTTACATACTGACTGCATTAGTGTAGACTTAAAACCAACCCCAATTAGAATATAAAATTTTACAAAAGAAAACCGTAACGATATAGGTTTTAGAATGCTGAAGAGAAATCGCATTTTGTACATTTTTGCAAACCTTGTCCCTCCTAACAGGAACAACATAAGATACAGAAGAACCATACCAATTTTCCAAGAACTGGTTCCAAAAATCCGCCAAAAATGGTACTTGAAGTATCCTCCAAACTTGACTCTCAAATCTCCCAAAAATTAAATACCTACCAGGGCCACCCATAACTATACCCCGAATAGTACCACGGGTTCCACCCATAACTTCTTTTCTCCACTTTTTTATCACCACCGCCATCCTCAGCTTCAGCTTCAGCTTCGGCTTCGCCTGACTTATTTTCGGCTACCTGTTGAGCCACATTGTTGTTCTCCGGCACTTTTTCGGGAGCTTTGGTTGCTATGCAGATGGCGACGAGGGCCAACAATAGCAGCGACTAAAATGATATTACGTCACTGGACACCGAAAGCCACTGTTTCACTCTAGTGAAAATCCTCCACACAGTCTTACCAGCAGATTCATGATACCAAGCTGATGATCGAACTGCATCGATCAAAAGTGGTCTGTTCTTTTATACTGGTAGTTTATGGAAATCATTCGCGATTATGTACACAATTCTGGATCTACCGGTACGTTTTCTAACGCCATGATACGTTTACCGTTTATGGGGTTTAGGAGACACGTAACAAACCGCACCAATAATGCATTCATCTGGATCCAGACAGACGGGAATTCGAGCTATTCGAAATGAGGGACATTCAGGGAAAACGGGCACGTAATCGCGCTGTTACCTCACTGTTTGGTCGTGATTTTGCTGGAAAATTTTGTTTGAACAACATAATCGTGGACATAGGTGCATATTGTAGAGTATTAATTTATTGTATGCTTTGTATAATGTGAAGAACTGGAGAAACATTTTCTTTTTCAGTTTCCAAATTAATAGATCATTTAACTTTTAAGTTTGTGGAATCATAAGTTTTCAAAGTTCTCGGACTTTCGATGTCTGAGACCTCAAATTCAGAAATTCTTTAATGTTCAAATTTTCAGGTTTCGAAATGTCAACATTCCATGTTGGCGCCTAAATTCTTCAGATTCCTCTGACTCAGTGACTTCTCCATATTCTCTGGGTTCTCCAGATTTCTCTGACGCGGTTACTTCTCCATATTCTCCAGGTTCTCTAGATTCTATAAATTCTGTACATTCCTTAGACCCCATACAGTTGCAAACAGTTGCATGCAGTTACAAATAACTCCACATAGCTACATACAGTTCATACATTTTATAGCTTCCATGAATTTCATAGATTTGCTAAATTCTCTTTTCCTATATTCAATAAGTTATCTGAACTTCATAGATTCCTTAGATTCCTTAGATTTTTTATAGTTGTATATAATTGCATACAATTGCATACAGTTGCATACAGCTTGATACTGCTCCATACAGTTCATAGATTTTATAGCTTCCATGAACTTCATAAATTCGCTAAATTCTCTTTCTCTTATTCAATAAATTACTTGAACTTCATAGATGCTTCAGATTCTTTAAATTTTATACAGTTGCATACTGTTGCATACAGTTGCATACAATTGCATACAGCTCCATACAGCTCCATACAGTTCATACATTTTTTAGCTTCCATGAATTTCATAGATTTGCTAAACTCTCCTTTCCTATATTCAATAAATTACGTAAACTTCATAGATGCTTTACATTCCTTAGATTCTATACAGTTGCATATAATTGCATACAGTTGCATATAGCTCCATACAGTTCCATACAGTTAATAGATTTTATAAATTTCATGAAATGCATAGATTCGCTAAATTCGCTTTCCTTTATTCAATAAATTACCTGAATTTCATACATTGTTTAAATTACTTAGATTTTATACAGTTGCATGCAGTTCAATGCAGTTGCATATAGCTTCATACAGCTCCATACAGTTCATACATTTTATAGATTTCATGAACTTCATAGATTCACTAAATTCTCTTTTTCTTATTTAATAAATTGCTTGAATTTCATAGATTCTTTAGATTCCTTAGACTCCATACAGTCACATACAGTTGCATACAGTTGCATACAGCTCCATGCAGCTCCATACAGTTCATACATTTTATAGCTTGCATGTTTCGCACAGATTTGCTAAATTCTCTTTTACTATATTCAATAAATAACCTGAACTTCATAGTTGCATTAAACTCTACAATTTCACAACTTCACAACAACATGAACATATTCCATGTGCACAAATTCTACGTACGTCCATTTTGTCGAATAAATGAAACCTCACTCAAATAAAACTGATCACCAGCATTGCAACGAAACGAACAATAACTCGGTACACCATTCTCAGCCAATTATTCAAGAAACAGAAAGCCGTAATTAACCGCTTAACAGAAAAATGTTAAACAGCGATCAGCGCGTAAATGAACATCGCGTGCCACGCAATAATTGCGCCATTGTGAAACAGTCCCGATAATGCCTCTAAGCAATCCAACCACCGTATCCCGCATTGTTCGAGACCAGGAAAGATAATAAAGATAATGATCCTGGGAACGTTCTCAAAAGCATCATTTCCAACGTTTCACGCATCGTATTAACATACACGGTAATTAAACGGTTACTCGATCGAACCTTCGTATTCGACTTCCGATTAACAGAAACTCGTTACATAAAAACGTGCCCTTCTCCCGATTCGGAGAGCCCCCCTTTCGCGATTGTCCCCTTAAGGAGGTTTTGTCACACCAGTCCAGGAAATTGAGGCGACACCGTTTGTTCGAACTTTCTCTGGGTGGAGAACTGGTACCATAATCGACATACTTACGAAAGTGTGGTCTATGTATATCTAGACTTATTGTAACACGTAATCTACGGGATTATTCTCCGCTTTTTATGTATCGTCTGGTTTTACGAATCCGCTAATTGACGGAACAACGTAGTTTCCGCCTGCTCTCTCGTATCAGACTGACTCTTACAGGTGACTTTAATTACCTCGTTTCCTGTGTTGCGACAATCAAGGAATTTATGTTATAATAAAGTTTCGAAAGTGAGAAGTTAGATGGTTTTTGTAAGGGTGAAAGAAACTTGGTTTTATGTGGAGTTTGACGGTAAACTGGGCGCAAAAATTTGGTTAGGTTAATGGTACTTATGGAGTGATGAAAGTGAAAGGGTACGGAGTTTGATATTAAACTGACGTGTGACTTAGGTTTAGTATTAGAGGATTTAGAAATTTAGAAATTTGGGATCTTTGGAGTTTGTGAATTTGCATATTGAAATTTTTAGAATTTCAGAATTTGAGGGTCTACATACTCAAAAACTTAAAACTGACAAAATCTTTAGTAGGACTACTTTGCAGGAACCTTAATGTAACGAAAGTCTCTGTCCAAACTCTTCCACACCTGAACTCGTGTACCTCCTCTCATGTACTAAACTAATTCTTCCTCCTCTCATCTACTAAACTAATTAAATTCCAAAACCAATGGTCCATACATTTCCCATCAGAACACCAATTGGCTGTGTCAGATAATTACATTCCACTCGCCAACGCGTAATTATTGTATCCAACTGATGGACAGTCCCCATTCAATCCTGTGCAGTTTACGACATTTCTTTTCCACGCCACAGCGTGCCGCTTCAGTTGTCTCTAACCAGCAACCACGTGCAATTGAGGAGAAACTCGACATTTCTTTCCGATGTTATGCAAAAATTCATCCCCTCTAACCATACTCGGCTCGACGATGCTCGAGCGGAACGTTGGTCGCAGTCCTCTCGGAATCTCAAGATACAATACTATCCAAGCTTTGTCACGCGATGAAACACCTCTCCTCGTAGTTCCTCGCTATTTAACCGAGCGTCTTCGACTACACGTGCAACAACCGCTATTATCACGACCGGTGAAAGAGGACGAAGATGTCACGATGTCCAACGAGACCTCGAGCGATTATTCGGTGCAAACGGTGTAACTAACTCGACAGGAAGTGAACCACGATGAAGCTTAGAACACTCTACGTTCTGTGTTTCCTGTGTACCCTCGTTTCTTCCGAGAATGATTGGACAAGTCAGTTGGAGGCTGAAGGAGCGAATAACACTCGGGACAAGCGAGCTTTGGGTTTGCTACTGTCGGGACTGGCGCAGGTTTTTGGGTACACGGTGGACCCTGTTCAATTGGCGTCGCTACCTAACGTAGAGGAAGCTAGAACTCAGAATGATCCGTGCTCTAACTCGACTACCAAGCCTGCACTCAGGGAGACTATCAGACTAACAGGTGTACTGAACTTTGGAAACGAATCGATACTCGATCATCTTCAAGAATACGAAAGGATCTTTCATGGAAACGGCAGTAATCAGACTAGTCCGCCGACGGCGGCTCCTATGATCGATGTAAGAGTACCGATGCAACCTAACCAACCGCTACTTGTGCCAAACATTTCTTTACCGACCGTACCACAGCCACCCCTGCCAGAGATTCCTCCGCAGGACATCAAACTGTCGTATCCTAGGCCGTTGGTTATAATTCATCCTGAGCAGAATGTGACCAACGCAAGAAACAAGAGTGTCAGCAAAGCTCAGAGTGCAAAGAACATGAGTTCCGACAGCGGACCGAGTTCGGACAACGGATCTTCGGACAAATCGCGATGGAGGGAGTACGAAGAGAGACTAGCGGAGTTAGAACGCAGACAGCAAGAGCAGGCCGAGAGGTTGAGACAGCAGGAGCTTGTTAGAAACCGTGAGAAGTATAATAATTATAACGGTGAAGAGAACGAGCGAAATCGAGGGCAATTGGGTCGCACTGATGAAGATTGCAGAGGGAAAGACGACGAAAGTTATGAGAATTCGGAGGAAGAGGGGTCTAGAGAGAGTTCTGAGGCTCCGAACGAGTCCGAGGAAGAGGAGGAACAACCTAAGGACGATTACAAGTACAGCGTGTACAGCGAACCTCTTCCGATCAGCAAGGACGACGAGCACAGGAGACCCGAGGAGCTTCGGAACAGCTACGGAGAGCTCCTGAACAACCGCGAGATCGTGGGCGACGGGTTCGAGGATTTCTTCAAGAAGTTGAAGCAACAGACCAGCTTCCAGAAAGAAAAAGATGAAACTTCCAAGGAAGATGAAGAGAGTAACGAAAAAGAGCCCGCCACGAACAAATACGAAGAGTATCCCCTCGAAGAGGATTCCGAGAAGAACGAAGACGAAGATTCCGAGGAAGAAGCGATCGAGCATTCTAAGAACCAATCGCTCAAGGAGCAGCACAACGAGGAACTGGATTTCAGCAAGAGCGTGCCTTTGATGGTACCCGTTAGGTACCTCACCGCTCCCGAGGAGCTGAAGAGGATGACACTCTCCGAGAAGTCGGACAACACCGTACCGGAAGCCACGAAGAAGGTTTCTCGTAAAGAACTGAGAACTGGCAAGAAGGAGATCTTGAAACCGACGATTGGTTACCCGGAGTTGCCGAAGAAGCTGCACGATGGCGAGCAGAAAGTGTTGCAAATGTGGCCTCCGCCTTTTGATTTCATTTTAGACAGCGTTGTTCAGAGGGACTCGGATAGAGGAAGTGGGAAGCCACGTGCGGAACTAGAGCCACCTGTTGATCGCGATTATCCGGAGAATATTTATTATCAAAGTTTCGGCAAGGATTTTGCGTCCGGAACGGATGCTTCGAAGCAATTAACGCTTCATGGACCGGGAAATAGAGGGAACGGGTCTGAGGTACCAGATTTCTGGCAGAGGTATAGATACACCGCGAACGATGAGTATATGGAACCAGATTTGAAGATAAAATCTTCTCAAGAACCTTCGTATTCGAAGAACTTGGAGTCGAAACGTAACGCAGGACATACTGATATTTATTCTGAGAGATATAGAAATCAGAAGATGCGAAATGTGGAGCAGAAGACCGTTCCTCTTGCGAATACGAAGGAGTATGATTACTTTAAGTACGGACCGAATGATTATATTTTCGGTTATGCAAGACGCGAGAAATTGCCTCAAGTTTTTGCGAGTGACCAATTGTATCGCTATGAAGAAAGTTTAACGAAAATAGCTGGTGAACCGGAGAAAAGAAGCGGGAAAGTTGCGGCTAGAGATTACGAGAATTACGGTAACACTATGGTAGCCTTGGGACAAGAAGAAATTAGCTCAACTGGACCGATTAATTATTTCACTTATCCTCGTATTTTGTAATCCACGATTTATTTATGATTTTTTTATAATTGTATGGCTGTAGATAATGGATAATAAATTGAATGGTAAGAAGTGATTATAAAGAGAGATTATTGTAAAAATTTCCCAGACTTGTTTCATAAATATTGCGAAGGATATTAGAAGTATTAATATATTAGAATTAAAACATATTCCGAATACACTTATATACTAACGGTTACTTATTCATAATTACGTATTATAAATTGCAAGTTATTAATTATTATAAATTACAAGTTATTAATTATAATAAATTACAAGTTATTAATTATTATAAATTACAAGTTATTAATTATTATAAATTATTAAATAATACAAATATAAATAGCAGGAGAATTTATTAAATACATATAATTTTATTAATATGTTCCAGGATAAGAGAGCAGAAATGCAAAGACGCACCGAGTTGGAGAACAAAATGTCCGACATTTTAGAAAATCTAAAGACGCGACTGTTAGTTGAATAAATAATTATTACATATACATTTTTCTCCTTTACTTATCAGAACAATTTTAATTTACATTGATAATTTAAATAAAGTTTCCCTCATTTTGAATCCATAAAAACGATATGTAATTTAGACATTGTGAAGACGGTTTACTAATCACTGTAAAGGAAGTTATTAACTTACCTCCTTTTTCAAAAATCTGGGCTTCTTTGTAACTGCAGACCATTATCCACATCACAAGTTGTAGAAAGTTCTATTTGTCACATAGTTCAATGTTTATCACTATTTTTAACACATTATTTCACTTATAACATTCCAGAATAAACGGTATGACGATCACTCCACTTGCAACGCGCGAAAAAGAATTAGTAACGTATTTTACTAATAATCGATTATAATCGAAATTGAATTTTCAAATGTAGTACACTAGAGAGCGCTGCAGTTGCGAAACGTCAGTGCCTGTCAATGTGACAATTATGAATACGTGTTTGAATGTACACCTTTTATTTGTTAAATAACATAGAATATGTATTAAATAATTTACTGTTAGTATATATATTTTTTTAATAAAGTTTGACAATTACAATTTCGCAAAAATGGAAGAATTTTTACAAAACCTTGGCATCGGTGTGAGACCTATTGACGATCCATTTTTTGAAGAATCGTACAATGTTTGCAAAATTTTTCAACGGAAAGGCATTACTGTTGAAGATGATGAAGAATTATGTCACGATGTGTAAATAAAGATTACTTATTCTACGTAGAAAACTTAATAATGCTACCATAACCTATAAATAATGTCAAAGTATTTTAATTATTGTATTAAAATTATTAATTTCAGCATAAGAGAATTTTCTTGTTACGCTACAGGCTGCAAAGCCATATTTAAAACATTAGTTGACTTTGAAATGCATTACAATACCTATCATCGATATGTTTGTTCAGAATGTAAAAAGACTTTGCCAAATCCTAGATTGTTAGACATTCATGTTCAGGAGACTCATGACAGTTTTTTTCAAGTTTCATGTACAAGAAAACCAATGGTATTTATAAACTTTTCATCATGTTATTATATGTGTAAAAAGATGTAATAATATCTACATCTTATTTTCAGTATCAGTGTTATGTTTGCGAATGTGATTTAAAATTTAATAATCCAGTTGAAAGGAGGCATCATTGCATTACAGTACATAAGTTTCCTAAGAATTTTCGCTATGATAATACTCCGAATCATATGGAAAGTGATACAGCAGAACAAATGGATGTTGAATTATCTACAGATGAAACAAAAGAATTGAAACCCAAGAAAATATGGTTAAATAAAAACCAGAAGCAGAAAATGTTTCCAATTGCTGCAAAAACTGCAATACCAGCAAATCCTGATGCTAACAGAAATCAATCTAATGTTTCAAATCCTACCAGTGCTACATCTCCTTTAGTTTTTATTCCTAGACAAGTACAAAAGTCGTATACAAAGGCTCTTACTAAGAATCAAAGCAACGAGAAAAATGTTCTTGAAACAGGGTGTATGATGGATCTGGCTGATTCTTTACCTCGTTAATAGAAATAGAAATATTTAATAAGAAATATATTTTTTCAAAGCAGTTTTTATTATAAATATATATTAAATATAATAACAATATTTACACGTCTAATGAAATGTAAGAAATTTGATACCTCAGCGTAACCATTATCCTACTTTCATTTATTTACAAAGTCTTTCTCTGGTCGTGTGATATAATCTACACACTCCTCATATAAATTTAATTGTTTTGATTTTTGCTCATGGTGGGCAGAATATTTTCTGTACCTAAGTACGAATAACATTTCATTAAAGATCTTTAAATTTTTACACTTTGGATAAAGCTAATGTCAGATAGCCTATTTGGCACAATCATCGTTATCTTGTAAACAACTTTATGATACTGGCAGTGTTGTATACTTATACATCTATGGCACTCGTGTATATTCATGGAAAATTAATTTCCAAACATTAGTAGTATGACAAAATGATTTTTTAACATGTAAAATCCGAAAAGTTTTCTCCATTCAAAGAACATTCGCTAAACAATAATTCCGAATTTTACAAAACAATACATCAATTTATAAAATGAGAACCTACTATTCTAAAACGAAAATGAAAATGATTCAAATGTTCACAAAAATTGTTGCTTACAAAATGCAATACAGATCTTTACAACTGTCCATTACTTCATCAGTAACAAACACAAAGTTTCAAGTCAGTATTCAAAGAAACCGACTCTTCCCTGAGTATCAGAACAATATTAACAACTTACAATCTATAAAAACTACAAAACTAAGTCGAATAAATCATACATCGAAGTTTGGCTGTTTCGTTCCTAAGTGCTACAAGTTCATATTTCAATTTGATATTTTCTTGCTCTAGGAAGGCTGCCCTGATCGCGATCTCATCTTCCTTGGCTCTCCTCGCATCTCTAGAACGTTTGGCAGCTTCGTTATTTTTTCTTCTCCTCTCCCAGTAAGCTGCATCCTTCTCGTCCACGGTGCTGGTTGGTAATCCCGGACTCTTCGTGGATCTGCGCATCTTCACGTTCGTCCCCTCGTTCGACCGCTTCACCGACTCCAGCATTCGTTTCCGAAATTCCGAATACGCTTCCGTGGAATTTTGATCGTACACCAATTCAGCTGCGCCCACAGTGAGCGATAGCGGATCTTTCGGATAAGCCTTGAAGGGTCTCGGTGCTTTTTTACCGCTATCCAAAGACAATGTTGACATCGTCTCTTTGCTGTAGGTCGGCGTCGTCGTTGATATGCTGGAGCTGCTGCCCACTTGAACGGCTTTGACCGTTCCTACATTTTGATTCAACAACGCCGGTATTACTGCTGGAACTGGTATTGGAATATTCACTGGTAACCCAGAAAATACTCCGTGTTGGCCGATCACGTTCACCGACGAGTTTGGACTATTATAAATCGGCTCGTATTTGATCTTCTTCGGCGAATCCGACTCTGAGGGTGGAGTTACCATAAATGTTCTTCCCTCGTAAGGACTCTTGCATCCGGAGTCAGCGATATTGTTGTTTGCTTCTTGTTCTACGTCCACCGAGGAGTTGGAATCTTGCAAAATCTTACTGGGTACTGTAACTGTGGGCTTCTTACAAGAGAGATCTAGGATCGGTGGCTCGGAAAAGTCTGCCTTCGTGTCCGGTTTTAAACGGGAGATGAAGTCCAGCGCTTGTACATTGTCCATCAAGGATTTGGGATACGGATCCATTCTGCGATCTTCCATTATCTGTAAAATGAAAACATTTGTTAAGGCTTTTATTGTGGGTAGGAATATTTGTAAATGAACACTCTCTCAATTTTAATGCACTATTTTTGAAAGATTCAAAGCTTGTAAATTATCAAGGTAACAATTCTTGAATGTCAGAACTTCAACATTCTTAAAACGTAAAAACTCAAGTTTTAGAAGATCTCAAACTTTTGACAATGTGATGTCAAAGAAAAATTAATGTCAAGAGGCAGAATCTCAACAAATTCTATGAGTTTAAATACGTCACAAAATGCCAAGTTAATGTTTTATAATTATTCCGATGAATCAGCACATGGAAAGCCCAGTTCTAAACAGTTGTGAAATTGACCGGTTGACCGAAGCTTCACCGAGCAAAGCGACGGTTAGCGATACACTTTCGATTTAATAATGAATTGCTCAATAAACGTAATAGCAGTTAAACAGAAACTCTTTCGTGTACATTATCGATAACGATCTCCGAAAATGATGAAAAGCGTAAACAATAATCGTTAACGTTACATTACATGTTAACAAAATCGAAACACCGATTACAATATTGAGTAATACCTAGTAAGCGGTTTCCCCGATGGTTCAACACGAACTATCGAGAACTGGTAAACTATCGTCGGTACGTTTTTGAAGAAAAACTAGTAAACATCAACCGTATCCACTGGTTGCGCAAGTTTGAATTTCTTTTCACCGTTCGTCGAACAACCGCGATCGTAAACAATAAATGCTTCTTACCTAATGATTGATCCAAAGTCATACACCGGTCACTGATATCACAACACCACGTATCGTCGTTTAAAACGTGCGCGTCACTCGGAACGAAACCGAATGGTTTCTCTAAGAGAGTTTTAGGTAAATCGTGTTCACACAGCGGATTGCCAAAATCGTTTACAACGAGAGGGGGTGCACTTCGCTTATATACTGTCCAACCCTTACAAAACCCTAAGGGTAGGAGATTTCCTTAGAAAATGGTGGGGACATCCTGATGACCATAGCGCCGGGCTACTGACTGGCACGCGTTCGCCACTTCCGAAATGTTTATCTCGCACCGTTACGTCGATTGACGTCAGAAAATGTGCTCATCTGATGGCTCATTAACGGATTTACTTTTGAATACGGTATTTTATATTTGGGGATTTCTTTGAATTTTTTGATTATGTTGATTTGTTGGTTGTGTATGTTTTAAGATAGATTTTTGGAGGAAATTTGGAAAATTGAGGAGGGATTGAATTTGGAAATTTGGGATATGAAGGTTTTTATATTTTGGGGGTTGGGAATTCGGGAATTTAGAAATTGGAAATGTGAGGATTTGGAAATTTAGAAGTTCAAGAATGTAGAAATTTGAGAATTTTAGAGTTTGGAAATGTGAGAAGTTGGCAATTTGGGAATTTGGGAATTTTAGAATTTGGAAATGTGAGGAGTTGGCAATTTGGGAATTTGGGAATTTGGGAATTTTAGAATTTAGAAATGTGAGGATTTGGCAATTTGGGAATTTGGGAATTTTGGAATTTGGAAATGTGAGGATTTGGGAATTTGGAAATTTGGGAATTTTGGAATTTGGAAATGTGAGGATTTGACAATTTGGGAATTTGGGAATTTGGGAATTTTAGAATTTGGAAATTTAGAAATTTAAGAGTGTAGAAATTTGGCAATTTAGGAATTAGGGAATTTTAAAATTTGGAAATGTGAGGATTTGGAAACTTAGAAATTTGGAAATTCTCAAATTACAAAAATTTGAAAATTCAGTATTCTAAAAAACTACCTTCCCAAATCTAAAAATTCTCCATCTTACTCTTTTCCAAAACAAATCCGCTTAAACTCACCCTCTCCAACCTCCCTCTGCATCCACCCCCAATAAATAACAACACATAAAATCAGTCCGACAACTAACCCAAAAATTAATCCCAACATTAATCGTTCCCAAGATAAAAATCAAGTACCCAAAGGGATGACACCTTCCCTCCGCACCCAATCAGACCTCGTAGGCGTGTCATCCGTACATCCTCAATAAACTCCAAACTGAGAGTTGCGTCTTTATTTATAGTTAGGGTACTTGCGAACGTGCCACCGTACCTGTCGTACTGTCTTTCTTCGACGCTGCCCCAGGAGCAGATCGTAACAACTTCTTGACTCGAACAATCGAATCCCGCTAAATTAATCCGGTCATCGGTATGTCTTTACAGGCATCCGAAACACTCGCTGGCACACTAAATCCTTGTCCTCTTAAATCCTACGTAAGGACGGGCAATGCTCACTTTCTGTAACTGCTCGGGCAAAGGGTTAAACTTGGACATTTTTGGTATCGTTGCGGGGTGTCTTCCCGTACAGCGTTTAGCACGTCTGTACGGTTATGTGCATAGAATCGGGCCCTTTCCTACGGGGCCCTTTTGCACGAACATTTCCTCTGGCTGCCTTTGTTTCTGGCCCGTGCCCCCTTGATTTATGAGGCGAACGGGCGAAAGGGTTACACGGAATCGCGGAATTTGCGTAAAGTGCTCATAAATTATGGGGCGAAAGCTTGCGGCCTAGGGAAATTTATGAAATTTTTAAATGCTCGATGAATAGGCTGGTTTGAGGATCAAAGGATAATGGTATTACACTCTGATGCGGTGAAAGATGGATTCGAGGTTTGTGGGCCTTCGGGATTTGCCAGAGGTTCGTACGACTTTGGGACTTTGGGACTTTGATATTTTGGAGCTTGGGGATTTTTGGTGTTTTGGATTTAAAGACTTTGAAATTTGAGGACTTTTTAGACTTTGGCAGTTTAAAATTTTGTAACACTGAAATTTAAGTGAAAATAGTTGGAGACTCTAGAAAGAGGTTCGAGATGTCGAGACTGTGAAACTCTAACATTTTTGAAACTTTACCAGTCTGAAATTATAAAACACTGCAATTTAGGAATTTTTAAGACTACAGAATATTATAATTTTTGGAAAAAATGAGAGTTTGTGATTTTAAGACTTGAAACTTCAGAAATCTGTGACACTTTGAAACTTTGGAACCTTGAAATATTTTGTCCTTTGAAACTTTAAAACCTTATAACATTTTGTCTTTTAAAACCTTGAGATGTTTGACACTCTGAAGCCTTAAAATCTTGAAATTTTTGAAACTATAGAATTTTCAATGAACTTTATCTATACTAATAAATGTCTAATCATTTAGTGAAGCTTTGGAACTGTACCCTAAACCAAAAGTCCTAATAACGTCAATGTGCACGATCATTCTCGGTTGCTCGTTAGGGATGCACGACATATGGCAATTTTCATAGCGCAGTACCGGAAGATGAACCTCTTTTCTTCGATCCGTGTTGACTAATGGTTTACTTTCACGGCTAGTTATTCAGACTCCTTAGTTAATCGTTGTGCCAGCCACTTTTGACAGAGGCATCCTCGACACCTATTGTTTTTCACAACTTTCTTCTTCCTCTAAAATAGAAGAAGAAATATTCCTCTATTTCTGAATTTCTCCTCAAATTCAAATATAAAAATGTGGAGCCAAATATAAAAATGTGACGTCAAATATAAAAATGTGAAATCAAATATAAAAATGTGAAGCCAAATATAAAAATGTAAAATCAAACATAAAAATGTGAAGCCAAATATAAAAATGTGAAGTCAAATGTAAAAATGTGAAGCCAAATATAAAAATGTGAAATCAAATATAAAAATGTGAAGCCAAATATAAAAATGTAAAATCAAACATAAAAATGTGAAGCCAAATATAAAAATGAGAAGTCAGATATAAAAATATAAAGTCAAATGTAGAAGTAAAAAAATATTCAAATTCAAGTATGTATTATATTCAAAAGAAACCCACATTGTACTTAAGTATACAGCGATTTTAATATATTCCTTAATCTGGGCAAAAAAGGAATGATACTAAATACGAGCTTATTCGCTTGAGAAAGCAAAGTAGGTCCTCGTATATTACTCTAACCCATTGTTATACTGGTCTGTTTTACCTGAAATTATTTTAAGGATTGCGGTCCCCATAAAAAGACGGAGTAATACAAAATGTTCTATGTTAAAACTGTGCCACTACTACGTAAGTACAATTGGTAATAATAAACTTAATCGTTTAAAAGCAATTATGGTACTTTGAACTTGAAAAATGTGACAAATGCGTGGTAATATGCTATGGACACTATTTTACGGTTCTTTTTATTGTTTATGGTACTTTCATCGAATTTTTAATTTTTCAAAATCGGACATCGTTTATTGATTCTGATAGTTAACTATTTTATGGTAAAAATATTAAATTAATCTGTCAGACATTTTCAGTAAGTTCCAAGCTTTAAATTGTTATGTTACAAGTACATTACAAGTAAGTTTATTATATTTTTATGTCAATAATTGTCAACAAATTTGTGATTTTTCAAAACCCGCCATTAACTGCAACTGATCCGCCATTTTGTGCTAAGTCTCACGAAAAACACAACAGACATTTTCACCCAACTTTCAGCTTTAACCAACAAATTCTTTCTAGCTTATCTCCAAATTGTGTAATAATAAAATTACTATTATTTATAATAATATTTAATAATAATAAAATAATTTTGTATCGTCGCATATTAAATTTTTCACCCATCCGTTAACGCTACCCCATTCGTTTCTCATCGCGTCAAAGCGATAACTCACAGAGGGTCAATTTGAAAGATTTCAGCACGGTACATCGAATTGAGACGTTTTCCACGACGAATCATAACGAAGATTTTGCAACCCGTACCGTTACATGGTCTGTATGCGTTTCTGTGAGAGCGGAGCAGATGCAAATGCGCGGGCCATTCATCTGTCGTTGGTGGATGGCCACGGGAAAAATCGGGAATAACGGGTTGCGGTCGTCCCTGCACCATAGAAATCTGGGTTATGTGGCCAAAAGAGCAAAAATTTGTATACACGTGAAAGGAGGCGGTGCAGTGAATTGAGCGCCGGGGGTGCCCTTTTTCTATGGGGAGGACACGACGTTTTAACGGGCCCAAAACGGAGGACTAAATTTGGCGTGATCTTGGGACTCAGACATGATGAGATGTCTCCACCATATCTCCGGTGTAACTGTACCCTCGTACCTTGTCGTTTATCGTTTCATTTCCATTTTTCTCACAATAAGATTTTATAGAACTCTTTTTAATTTTTAGTCGACTTTATTATAATTTGCTGTTTTTAACTAATTCGTTGAAAGTAGAGGTGTACATACAAATTGAGGTATCTAACAAATTGACTTAGGCAAGTTATAAATGAATTCAGGTATTTAATAAATTATGGCAGGCTCTTAAGAAATTAATTCAAGGAGCTAACAAATTGACTTGGACACCTAACAAATTAATTTGGACATTTAACAAATTAAGTCAAGGATTTAACAAATTGACTCAGAGTCCTAACAAATTTATTTAGACATCTAATAAATTAATTCAGGCTCCTAACAAATTAATTCAGACACCTAATAAATTGACTCGGAGTCCTAACAAATTTATTCAGACATCTAATAAATTAATTCAGGCTCTTAACAAATTAATTCAAACAGCTAACAAATTGACTCAGGGACCTAACAAATTAACTCAGGAACCTAACAAATTGATTCAGGCCTCTAATAAATTAATTCAGGGATCTAACAAATTGACTCTCAAAATTCCTAAATCCTTAAATCCTAGCTCCAAATCCTTAGATTCCCAAAATTGCGACCTCTGCAACTTCTTAGATCCCCAAATCCCTAGATTCCCAAAATTGCGACCTTTGCAATTTCTTAGATCCCCAAATCCCTAAATCCTTAGATTCCTGAATTGTTGCCTCCCTAAATTTCTAAATATTAAAATCCCTTAATACCCAAATTAATCTCCCAAATTCCACGTCAGTTTTCATCGTCGAATATCTTATATCACTCAACCACGCAATCATGATTGACGTTATCAAGCTCGAACGTTTACGTACATCATTAGATAACGTAAATAGCTAATAGAAAGTGTCTCGTAATCTGACCAGTAATCACCCAAAACGACCTCTTCACAATTTCCTAAACACACAGGACAAGGGAGTTTCGTAAGAACAATGTTAAGTGGAATCAGGTTGATGCAATATTTCCATTTGCATTCGCACCATCCTGGACAATATCGTAAGCTTAAACAGATGTTCACCAAATGATTTCTACCTCGAGGTACAAAATGACCTCAAGCGGAATATAAAATACAACTCGGGTATTCGATAACAGAAGGTTATATGATCGATGATTACTGTAACCTTCGAGTGTAATGACTTACAAACTATGAGGAGAGATTAGTATG